TGGGAGTTATGAGCGATGCCGTACTTTCCGTCGCTACAACAGTTTAATAGCATGTTGAAATATCTAATGTAAATGTTCAAATAAAGCTTTGAAAAAGTTTAATAAAAAGGTAAACCTCACATTTCAGCCTTTAAATAAAGAAAATTATATTATATAATTATATATTGTCAAAATTATAATTGATTAATAACTGATTATATGTATTTTATCTGCTCCATAAATAATTCTAGATAACTTATCTGAATTGTTTAAATGTGTAGAATCCACATAAGCTTGTTTTTCATCAACTGGTCAAAATTTAGGCTACAGTAGGGCATGCAAATGCGGCCAGACAAAAACTGCACACAAGCTGAATGTAAATGTAAGTCTCTGTAAATCCACTCGCTTGACAGCAGGTGGCGCTTATGGAAAAGCTGTTTCCCGTAAACTCTGTGGACAAAGCAGTATTGCGATTAAGAACACTTCCTTTAGGTATTACATGGAGCGAAGATGAAAACAAAATGTCATCGAACCGTTTCTGAAGACAGTCAGAACCTTCAGAGGTACATTCATATAATGAATTCATTCATATATTCATTTGTATAATTCCCTTAGCACTCTTTTAAAACCTCCCAGCTTTTCCGCCCTGTTTTCACTCAAAACAAAACTACTCTGCGTGCTGTGCGCACGTGAGACTGTTACTTAAAATTGTGCTTTATGCTGGACAGTATTTATTTATCGCAAGTTGTTCAAATCGCTGTAATCTAATACGGTTTTAATGATAATTAAAAGATGAAACGGTAATACTAACCTTGGGGAATTTTATCATGATTTATCGTCAAACCGGTAATCGTTACATCCCTACTGCTATGTTCATTATTACATCCATCATCAACAAAACACCTCAATCGCTATGGAGCCATTCTTGTCTACATCTGCTCCGGCGATGAAACAAAGGCAGTCGGACTGTTACAGCTCACTCAGAGTGGGTCTAAGGTAAAACGGCCATGTCAATCAACTATCGTGGGAGTGGCTTTCGTCTGTGTGACGTCACACAGACAAGAAGCTGAGAACGGCCTGATTTGAAAAAGGGTATATTATTTTTAGAGATTAAATAAAAACCGCTGGGTGGATTTTTATCATTATAGGGTAGATGTGTACACACACTGCCAACACACATTTATGTTCAAACAACATGTAAAAGTGAATTTAGCATCCGATGACCCCTTTAATAAAAAAAAAACACTTTAATACCATTTAAAACTAATTTATCTAACCACCATTATTTATACTATTGCAATTGCAGTGTAAATGCATTCATGCCACCTCTGAGCTGCAATAAACTGTCAGTAGATATCTAAACACCAATTCAGATGCAGCTTCTGAAAAAAAAAATCTTGGCCTAAAAGTTTGTGCAATAAATTTTATGTTGAATCAAATAAAACACTTCTTTCTAAAGCTGCTTTCTGATGCTTTTCTCATTTAACACAATAACGACTTACAGTTTTTTGTGGGCAATTTCTCAGCCAGATATGACGTGCAATTAATTCGCAATTGATTTGATTAATCAATTGTGTCATTAATTATATATGTGTGTGTGTGTCTGTGTTTGTGTGTGTGTGTGTATACATATACATACAGACGCACAAACATTACCATTATTTTCCTCTTTAAAAAAAAAAAAAAAATTGCAACAATATACCAGCCTTATATGAGCATTACATTTGTTTTCTGGGAAGCACCTTGTAGTTTCATGACATTGAGCAACTCTTGTAATGTCAAAATAGACTATACAAATACAATATAATAAAATATTAATAATACAGTTTATAATTCTACTTCATCCCAAACAGGAGAGAAATCTATCAAGGTTGACCACACATGCTTTTTTACAGACATTTTTTTTTTTCAGAATAAATGTTGAGTCGACCCATTACAGATTCCAAGTTGATATTCTCCTTACAACACCAGTTTACACTTCAGATACACCACTGTGATGAACATGTGAAATGACACACATGGCCTCCCATTTCAACTTTACATTTAACACACACACACATAATATATAGGATACCATGTGTCAGATTTGTTTTCCGGATCATTCCTCTCTAATCCGTCGTTCTACACTTCTGCTCCTCACCCCCTCCCTGTCATCAATCTCCCTCGCTCCGCTCCTCCTCTTCATCCGTTCTGAGTCTATTCATCTCAAAATGAGCTATCACAGACAAATGCACTCCACATGCAAGACTCCCATTCCTCTATCGCCAGTTTAGCACAATGGAGAGGCCAACCTAGTCATCCACTACCCAATACAGCCCTGCACGAGCAGCAGGGAGC